GAGAGAGAGAGAGAGAGAGAGAGAGAGAGAGAGAGAGAGAGAGAGAGAGAGAGGAATGGGCAAAAATGTTTAGAAAACATCGATGTTTGCTCATTGAAAATAGTATTACATGTAGAGAAAATGTTAGGGTTTCTAGAAATTCTCTATCCGACAACCAATCGGTGCACGACTTTCTACATATAATACTACCCTCAATGAGCGAACATCGATTCTTTTTGCCCATCCTATAGATTGACAGATAGAAAGAAAGAGGGGGGGGGGAGAGAGAGAGAGAGAGAGAGAGAGAGCTTCTCGTCTATAATCGCACTTTGCGCTCTGTCTATGTATTCTTACGTCCATGGTTAGAGTAAAAAAAATATATTTATCTCACTTTAATTTATTGCATCAGTTCAGCAGTGCAACTAAAATGAACAGACTAAATGATTATTAGCGCTGCAGACGCAATTTTTACAAAATACCACGTACACCGGAAATGACGCATCGCATCGGCCAGCCCATCTCCACATCATTCGTAGCGGTTCGATTATGTTCGGATATTTTCGAATTCCTTCGGTCGTTTCGCACCAACCGCGAGCTCGCTATTTCCCTCTGTCTCTTTCCTTCTTTTGTGAACTGTCGTTCCCCACCACCGTTACTTTACTCTAGTCGTCTTGTTCTGCGCGTCGCTACGGTCGTGTCATTTGCGTGCGCGCACGTGTATAAGTTAGTGCGTATGGCCACTTTTTCGGATTTTGAATAAAACACAATGGTGATCTCACAGGAGATGGTCTCAAAAGCGGAGGAGATCGCAGATCAGGTGATGAATTTTTCAGTGCGGTTCCACATTTCCTACATCGCCACACGAGTCGCGATCTCGATTGCAGGTCACTCAAAAAAATCCGAGACGGGCAAAAGTGGGAGCAAGCAAGTTAGATTTTATAAAAAAAAAGTGATCGCAGCTACGCACAATTACCGTCAATATCATCGCACCTGCATATTTCCATGTTTGCACGTATCCGTGTTTTTTCACGAATTATTCACAAATTGTGCGTTCATGACGCGGATTTTCTCATTTTGTTTGAGAAAATTACAGGTTATGAAATTCACAGGTGTATGAGGGATTGGTCAAGCTGTACGAAGCCAGACAAAACTAGCTTTGCAATTTATCATTATAAAAGTAACGATCAAATTACGACCAGATTTTACGTCTTCTTTTTAGTAACCACTGTAGATATGCGATATGATTAACAGATTCTTCGAGATTTTTATACACTAAAGTCACATATGTCAATATGTAATTTATATGTATGACTATGACTTTCTCTTGATAATGATTGATGCTGTTATTTGTTGTGTATTTATGATTATTATGATTGTATTTAAGGGATGTTAGATTTATCATTGAGGATATTATGATCTAGAAGAATCGGATTGATGTTTGCATATTATCAAATTTCATAAAATATATAGATTGTTATCCTATTTCACAGACCTACTTTTATATACATTAATTTAACATATTATTCATCATTGGAGTAATTTAAGAAACATGTCAATCTAAATATTCATTTTGTATTACTGATTAACTTGAATTAACGAAGAATATAAAGACCCTTGCAGAATACCAGACAACAGGCAATAAGAACAGAGAATAGAAATTCAGATTGGTCAATTATTTCTATTCTCTGTTCCTATTGGCTAATGTCAATTTCTATTGTCTGTAGCCTGGCATTGTGCAAGGACCTTAAATGTAACAAAAGTGTAGTTCCCACCAAAAAATAATAAACTCATAAGATTGCCAAAGAATCCACTGTTGATAAGAATACAACTCTCCAGTTATTTTATACTTACAATCTCTAACAGCTACTTAATGAGATCTTACTGATTTTGTAATAAAATGCTTGTAATGTACTTTTTTATTTTATTACAAATAGTTAAGCTAAATGAATATAATTTCATGAAACATTGTTATTAATAATACATTATTATGTTATATCACAGGTAATTCGCAATGGCAAACATGTGCTTCCAACATTGGCAAGAGTATGTCTCATAGCCACATTTCTGGAAGATGGCTTACGAATGTGGTTTCAATGGAATGAGCAAAGAGAATACATGAATACTTCATGGGGCTGTGGCAAATTCCTGGCAACTGTGTTTGTGCTAGTGAATTTGGTCGGTCAGCTAGGTGGATGTGTCATGGTGATTGGCAGATGGCGAGTCAGCATAGCCTGTGGCGTTCTGTTCTTCATAGTGATCCTACAAACCATTGCCTACAGTATCCTGTGGGACATGCAATTTTTATTCAGAAATCTAGCGTTAATAGGGGCACTTCTGTTAGTACTAGCTGAGTCCAGGGTAGAAGGTAGATCACTATTTGCTGGTGTGCCCAGTCTCGGTGATAACAAGCCCAAGAATCTGCTACAACTTGCTGGCCGAATTCTGCTGGCATTCATGTTTATCACCTTGATTCGCTTCGAGATATCTATCCTGCAAATCTTGCAAGACATTCTTGGCAGTATTCTCATGGTACTGGTAACAATTGGTTACAAAACTAAGCTGAGTGCATTGCTACTTGTGCTTCTGCTCACTGGACTCAATTTCTATCATAATGCATGGTGGAGTATTCCTGACTATAAGCCGCTCAGGGACTTCCTCAAATACGATTTCTTCCAGGTAAGTTTAATTTTGTTGATTTGGTCATACATTTTGTCTATGATACTATCTTACAATTAAACAAAGTGAATGAAAAGATGGAAAGAGAGAGAAGCTCATTTGTATATTTATATTTTGTTGTAGACATTATCAGTTATCGGAGGCCTTTTGATGATAGTTTCTCTAGGTCCAGGTGGGGTATCGATGGATGAGCATAAGAAAGAATGGTAAAAGCGGTACTCCTAAAAGTGTGAGGAGTACGCAATTATTTCGGTTATCACGAAAGTTAAACATGTCTCCCATTCCTATCCCTTTGTATGCTCAAAAAAATCTTAGGCGATTCATTGTGTGTCAAACTTCGAAGGAAAAAATTCAGTATGTCAAGATATAATATATATCATTGGTCCAGCTGTATATTCTGTGTAAACTCCTGTGCCGACAACTGCCGATTCAGTAAATGTCATTGCGTAACTATTTTATATCTGATTACATGATTTATATTATATAATTATATACATTTGAAACTATATATACCGAATCGACAGTTATTGGTAGACATGTACGGAATAGTAGCCTAGGGCGATCGTTGTACGGTTAATTGAGAATCATTAACGAACACACACTACAACCAGATACTCGAAAAAATCCAAAATGATCAGTATAACACTTTATTTAAGATTATAAAATTAACGTGGAAAAAAGAAAACACACCGTACACAAAACAAATTTATATTATGAAAAATGGCATTGTATATATGACACTGCGGTCAATGGAGAAAATATATTTTTTTCCACGTGTTTTTAATTCGCTCACTTTTAATTGAACCGATTAATAAAACCGATAAAAGATTAACCGATAGCTCCAGGACTTAAGTTCTAATACCGACACCATGCTTCCGCATTGTCTGAAAATCTAATTTACAAATTCTCATTGGAGATATTTATATCGAGAAAAACTAATTTTATTATAATTTTTTAACTTAATTAAGTATCTGTAAAAAAATGTTTCACATTTGTTTCAATTATGTAATTAGGGAAGGAGAGAAATGAGAGAAAGACGTTAGTGAGAAATCACCAGATTAAGGGTCCTGTCATTAGTTCTAATTATACGTCATGCGAAAATAAACCGATCTTAAAATAGAATACGCGTTCGAGTCTCCTACATCAGTAAAGTGAAACAGAAAGAGTGCGAGAAAGACAGAAGGGAAGCGCAGTCGTATGAAGCAGTAAGGAAAGTGTAATGTTTCTTGACATTCATTATACAAAAGTGTTTAAGAAAAGTATCTAACGAGAGAAGAAATCAGAAAAGTTTGTGAAAGACATGAGAATCAAGAGTCAATATTGTAAGCGCGTGCCTGTCGAAAAAGGCACCACTATTTTATATGAAAAACCATTTGCCTATGTTGTAAGATTAGCAGTTCGCGACGAAAGATGCGACCATTGCTTACGGAGGTAATGAAAAGAATATATCGTTATATACATGCACACATGTATGTATATGTATATATTATATGTATGTATGTATATATATATATATATATATATATATATATATATATATATATATATGCACATATACATACATAATCTATAAAATAAAATCTATAAAATGTATTATATATATACATATATATAACTTTATATACATATATATGTACTTTATATATATATATATACATATATATGTGTATATAATGTATACCCAAATGGCCAAACCTACGCAAACAGATTTTGAGCAGAGTCTGCTACAAACAATTATCACGTAATTTTTAATGGCAGAAAAATAATAAATCCAACACAGGATTTATTATACCTAATTGTATTGCCAAACTGCCACCAGAAATATGACACAGTCTACTGACAGGCAATCTAAGCAGGTTGATACCAGAAACCGAGCAAAACTTGTTGCGCGGCAGGATCTGCGAGGTTTCTGCTGTCAATCTGTTCGCATTGCTTGTCAACAGACTTTGACAATGAAACATGAGCTGCATGCGAACATAGTTCGGCTACGATTTTGGTATAACTGTTGGACTCTGATCAAATTTGCTACTAATTTGCGTGCATTCCGCTATCAATTTGCTTACTGGATATATGTGGACATGGCATATTCATATGCACATAGCAAAAAAAACATGTTATAGTTGCGTCCCAGTTATTTTCAATGAGATCTTGCATTTATAAAGACCGTCTCACAACATTGCGTGCTCTGGTTCGTCAGTCATTTTTTATTGATATTCCAAGATTTTACGTAGTTATTTGAAAAATAGAGGACTTTTTGTTCAGGTTAATGTTCTATCTGCACATCGTAGTTGCGCTGAGAGTTGCCGGGTATTATATGTATATATTATATACACACATATATATATATATATATATATATATACACACACACACACATATACATACATATGTGTATGTACATCCGCGCGTGTGTATGTATATATATAAATAAATAAAAATATTTATATATATATATATATGTGTGTGTGTGTGTATGTGTACACGCGTGTATGTACATATACTTGCATTTATACATATATGTACATATATATAAATATTTTTATGCATATATATATATATATATATATATAATTATCTTGATAACAATTCTTCTATTCTTATTCCTTCCCATACAGCAGAGGTGTCCAAAATATATCACAGGGATATCCTAAAGATATATTTGGGATATGCGATATCTTCAAGATATCCTTATGATATATTTGGGATGTTCCTGCTGTATGGGTTCAATCCCTTATTTGAATAATTACTGAATATCATTGAGTATCATTTATTGAATATTAATGTTGTTTGTAGAAAATCAAGTACCATTCTGTTTTCTCTGATGACAAAACTATTGTGCAATGATTATTATACATACAATTTTTCTTCCATTAATAAGATTTAAAATAACAACATTGATATTTGTAATACGTTAAAGAAATACTATTAGTTAAAAAGATATTATTAATTTAGTAATATTATTGTATATTGTTATATATCTTTTTCGTGTGTATATTATGGGTATAAAATGATTTTTATATGCAGAGTTATAATAAGATATATATTAAATAAGAAATTATGTCAAATTCAAAAGTTATATATTAATGGATTTATGCGCGAATCTGTGTGAAACTTTAAGACCAAATAATTTTTTAAAAACATTACATTTTTACATTTAATAGTATAAACAGAAATTTAATATATTTTTAACTATATTTTCTCTATACATATCTGATGTTTACTTTTTCCCTTATATATCTAAAAGCCTATATATATTTTTTTCATTTTATATTAAAAAGTGTAAAAGAAACTATTAGAGAGAGAGTGAAAGAAAGAGACAGAGAGTGTGTGTGTGTGTGTATTTTCGACCTGGGTTAATCGACTCTGGCTTATTAAACTTAAGTTTATTGGTCGAATGTTTTCGTATAAATTTTGTAGCTAGTAGTGTCTTGTGACGTCATTAATCGATTTCATGTCGATTAACCCAAGTCTAGTCGAATACTATGAATGATTTTATTTTTAAGTTATAGTTTGTTACACTTTCTGCATTCTGCACACAAATTTGACTAAGAAAGTGTAGGAAATACAATACAGTATAGTCAAAAGCTGTTTCACGCATTATGCGCATTTTCTATAATAACATGAACTATAGATAAATGTGTGTATATGAATCTGTTTTCTATTGCTGAATTAGTGTACACTTTTGGGCCTTAAAAAAAGACAGATATACAGATAAAACTTGATGGAAAAAAGATGAAAGAGAATTAGTACAGCCAGTTCAGCAATAGAAAACAGACCTTATGTGAAACGGAACATGACTAAAACCCGACAAAAACAGGTACGTGGAATTCACGTCCCTATCACGTGGATGATCGACGTCAACATCCACATAAAACATCAATTGGATCATTCGCTCAAAAACGGTACTAAAATCCACGTGGAAAAGAAAACAGGTATCCACGTTAAATGTACATAATTTATATGAATCATATGATGGGCATTTTTCCAGAAAACGCTAGATATTCCTGAAATATTTATAAAATGTTCCTAAAATCCAAAATTAACATTCCAAGAATATCCTAAAATATTCCGAAATATTCATAGAATGTGCAAGGAATATTCAAATAACCGCAAAAAGTTTCACTTTTTTACAAATATTGGGGAATTAGTTGAAATAAAAATGTTCAGCATGTCAGACGTATGTATCGAAATTTTTCTTCGATTATCGTATGTGACGAATCAACCTTTCATACTTAGACCGATCCTTGGGTCCCAATTTTATATATATATATATATATATATATATATATATATATATATATATATATATATATATATAATTCCCAAAACCCCCATTAAACCAATGACTCAAATAGATTCATTATGTATGTATGGACATTTTTATCCTCTCACTATCATATTAATATTAAAAATTTAATATTAGTATTTAACAGCACTAAGACATCCGTTGCTTGCTCCTCCTTTGCCTTTTCAAATCTTACTGGGATTTGAATTTGGATCTGAGGCACCTTTGGATTATGAGTCTTCTAGATAGCACATGGACGTCCAGTGGACGTTCAAATTTTGATATTTGACGTCCATAAGACGTCCGAATAAAACCCAACAGACGTCCGGTGGACGCTAATAGGATGTCCGTTTTTATCTATTTTGGACATCCTTTATTCAAAAAAGGATCTACACTACTCAGATAGCACAGGATGTCCTATGAACGTCCATTTTATGTCCATTTTACGTCTGCACGTCCATGGACATGTAATGGACGTCTATAAGATATCCGATTTTGGACATCCGTTAATGTCTATAATTTGGATGTCCATAAGATATTCGATCTTGGACATAAATGTCTTAAATATAAAATTCGACTATAGTCCATACAGCACAGAACGTTGAAAAAACCTTGATGAGACGTTGCAACGTTGAAAATAGAAGTGTGGATGTTTTTTCTACGTGAAATTTAAGTTGATTTTTCAAAATTGATTACAAGATATTGCTGCAATGTTAAATATATATTGAACAAAAAGTACAATTTTTTGCAGCAATATTTGAGAAGCATTGAAAATTATATTATTGATAATATTAACGAAAAATGTGTTATATAATAATAATAATAATAAAATAAATTATTAAATTTTATTATATTAATTTTATTTTATTTTATTTTATTATATTTTATTATATGTATTATACATATTATATTACAATATACCATAACCATATATATTTTTCTTATTATTTATATGTAAAATTAAAATATGTTTAAGCAATTTTGTGCAAACCCTGAATATTCTTTTATTTTATAATATTCTCTATTATATAGAGTCTGACGCAAGCTACGATAACAAAAAATGCATAAAAACATTAAATTGGAAAGAATGATCGAAGTCATTTTGCAAATAACTAAATAAACTTTAGAGATATTAAATAAAACAAATAGGCGAATCAACGCATGTATTTGCTAGGTACGTTATAATATACTGTGAACACTGTAAGTATATATTTTATAAGCATAAACTGTAAAGGTGCAATTTCACGCAGCGAATAAAAGCTGGCGTTTCATCCCACTCTATCAATTTTCACCGAAATGGCGAATGTAGCAAATAAACGCTCAAAGTTCGATACAGTCCAACTTTTAGCGAATAAAATTTGGCGTTTACCACCACTCCATTAATTATCGCTAAAAAGACGAATGAAGACAGATAAACGCTCAAAGTTCGACACAGTTCAACTTCTCGCGATTTAACTGGATCAAGTGATTGTAATTAATTAAGTGAGTAAAATAGGTCA